GTAAAAGATATGCATTTGCTAAATACTAAAATTTGTAATGGTTTTCAACTAACGTTCTTAATGGTTTGTAAGAGCTACAAGTTGTGCAAGTAATCCTAAGTTCATTTGTAAAGTTACAAGTTTTGCAAGTACTATATCTCGGTAAGGTTTGTCAAAGTTACAAATGTTCCTAGTAATTTGTAAGATATGGATTTGTTCATAGAATATTGTTTAAAATATGGAACGATACAAAATAGCCCTAGGATAAGAGCAACAACTTGGATGAAGAAAATGCTAATCGCTAGCGTGGATAAATTGATTTGAATTTTTTTTTTTTATATAATGAAGTTTGCAAAACGATGATGTTGGGTAATTGAGTGGATATATTTTAAGCTTTTGGGTATCCAAAAAATATAGTTAATATTTTAAATGAAGAAAAATTAATCCTAATTACTCGAGAATGATCCATGACTGGCTGCTAACATATGGCATCAGACAATTCTATCATATTGTTAATAATAGTTACGAACTTCCTTTTCGTGGCTTAAACAAGTATGATAAAATCACTTTCGCTACAATTAGTTGTTTGCTCTAGCTAAATGCATCAATTAGCTACAACTATTCTAACAGTAGCAAAACAATTTATTGGTAAAACTTTACTTATTGCCAAGATGACACAATTAGCTATGGGCAGTTATATTTGTGACAACAGTAATTATAAATAGCTACAATTATATCCATACTCTAGCGAAATACACCAATCAGATACAATATTTTAACGGTAGCAAAAACTTTATAGCTAAAAGATATTTATTGCTATGATATATAGATTTTATATCAAAATGATACAATTAGCACGGAGCCATCATATTTGTGACTAGATTAATTATCAATAGCCACGGGAGAGGATCTTCCAAGCAACTAGGCATTTATAGCTTTGAATAATTATTTGTGGCACAGTTTTTGTGGCTACATGTACTTATTGGTGTAGTGAGAGTAGATAATGTAGGATTCTTACGTTCATAACACCAAAGCTATTGTTAGTACTGTGATATGCCCCTCCACCTGCAAATGACCCTTTCTTTTTTGTTTTTGGCCTCGTAGTACTACTAGCTCCACCATCACTCTAAGCAAACACTAACAACCCTTTAATACACAAAACAAGTCACAAACAGAAGGGTTTTGTTTTCTGAAAAATCATTGCATACCTTAGTTGGCTTTGGCTTTGGCTTCTTTGGCTTCTTACAAGTACGAGAATTGTGTCCATTAGCTTGACAGTTTGTGCAGTGAATTACCATCCCCTTTCTACCAAGTTTATTTGGGTCCTTTGTATCCCGAGCTAACAGCTCTTTAGAAGTGTAGACACGCTTCTTTCTTGGCCTCTTCTTGTCTTCCCTTTCCTCTGCACTCCTTACTCTCTTCTTCTTTGGTCTCCCAGGCATGACTCTAAAATCAGGTGGAAGAATGGCCTCATACTCACTTCGAATCCATGTCCTTAGTCCATCCATTGGTTCCAATACGTTTTCATATATCTCTCTCCATTTTTGTGTTGTGAACCAACTTGATATGTACTCTTCGGGTTCCTTTCCTTCATAGGCTAAGCATGTGATAGCATGGGCACAAGGGATTCCAGTAAGCTCCCACACTTTGCAGGAACAAGTTTGATTAGGAACTGAAACTGTAAACCTCTCGTTATGGTGTCGGACTTCATACCCATGCTTTCCATTGTGAGTAATGTGGCATGATTGGCTTTCATCTGCATTGGCCTCGTACTGTTTCAATATTTTTGGACAAAATTGTTTGTCCCACTTCTCTGCTTGTTTCTTCTTCTTTGTGATCATGATCATCATCATTCTCCTAAGGTCATCCAACATACTATAAATTGCCTTGAATCTTGCTTCTAATATGGATGCATTGAATGATTCTGACATGTTATTGTCCACAGAATCACATTTCACCTCGGTTGAGAAGTAGGCACGTGACCAATGCTTTGGATCAATAGAGACCAATGCTTTCGCTGCTTCCTCATTTTGCGATGACAACTTCTCATATGCTCGACTGAAAAGTGCAGGGGTTGTGGCCTTAGCGCATTCCCAAAATATTTTTTGCCAGTCTCTATTTCTGTACTTCTTTCTCCAATTGCACCATATATGTCTAGCACAAAGTCTATGCTCTGCACTTGGAAAAAGCTCAGCAATTGCCGGCACAAGACCCTGCAATTAATCAGCAAAATATTAAAGAATGAGAAAGTAACTAATCTCTTACCACTAAACAATAAGCTTGTAACATTAAAGTATAATATGTCAAAACACGCCCAGTAAAGTTAATAGGCAATTAAATTGCCTACTGTGAGAAACAAAAGAGTTAATTAGAAGGGAATTAAATTGTCGTGTAGCTTATAAGTGAAAATATAGCTAATACCTTCATTTGGTCAGAACTAAAGCACCAGCCAATTCCTTCGTCAATGCACAAATCATCTCTCAACTCTCTTAGAAACCAATCCCATGAACTTCTTGATTCAACCTCAACGACAGCCCATGCAATAGGATACATTTGATCATTAGAATCCCTTCCTACTGCAGAAAGCAACTCTCCTTTGCATAGACCCTTCAGGAAGCAACCATCTAAAGCAATAACCTTCCTACATCCGCCTAAGAAACCTTTTTTCATGGCACCAAAACATACATACATGCGTTGGAACTTTGGCTTTGCTTCTGAGTTGTCCCTGTTTACCTTGATGCGCACAGTTGAGTTAACATTGGCTTTTCGAATCTCTTCTGCGTAAGTCCACAAGATCGCATACTCGTCTCTGTAACACCCTTCAGTTAAGTGCAAAACTAGCCTCTTGGCCCGTGAACACTTGTTCACATCCACAGCATATCCTAGCTCTTCTCTAACAGTCTCAACCATGTCGTTCAGCTTCCATCGAGGGTCCATTCTTATCCTCCTATGATATTTCTTTGCAATCACAAGTGGAGACAATTTTTTACACTTAAAATGCACTCCACATCTATGCTCCTTCAATGTTTTAATTTGAAAGGCATTGGCTACTTTACTCCATGAAACAAAAAGGACAAATGGACAACCAGGATAAGTGCATATCATTCTAACCCTTCTTGTATCACACTTCTTAACCCTAAGATCTTTCTTGGCATTCAATGAATACTTAGTGATTGCTTCCCTAGCTTCATCCATATTGTTGAAAATCATACCAACCTCAAAGAAGGGTGTGTCCAAGTTCGGATTGAACTTAGGGAAATTGCTTTTCCTGCGTAAGTCATGATCGGCCACTTCATCTTCATCATCGGTTTCATCATGACTCCCAATGTCATCAGAGTCAAAGCCACCCTCCTCGGCAAGCATTTCTTGTCTTCTGTCCACTTCATCATCAGAGTGATATGTGGTTGATATCCCTCTCTTCAAGTTTTCTTTTGCCTTCTTTAGATTGGTAGCGATTTCCTCACGATCTTCAACTTCGTTATCACTTACCCAATCCGGATGCACCTCAAACTCACTATCCGAATCATCTATTTCTTCATCACACTACACATCCTCTTCGAACCGTGGTGCTGCCACATTATCCCTAATCGGTTCAGCTTCTTGTCCATCTGGATTTTCATTAGTGCATCCCTCTGTTGTTGTCACTCTATCATTGAAATCTTGTGCAGCATCATGTTTCTCTACTTCTGGTGATAATGAGTGTTTAATGTAGACATGGTATTCATTCTTGCTCTTAAACTGATTAAGGAACTCTATAATAGCCATATCATCACATAACTCTCTCCAAGCCTCATCCCCCTGTCCCGTACACGATCTGAAGTACATCTGAAAATCATGAACCAAATTTGCTTCTTCTTTTACCACTTCGGCTAGATCCCAAGTGCTGATCACATCAGGATCAAGTTTAGAATAGGACAAATCTTCACCTCCTTCATATATTACATCACCACCAGCCTTTGTAAAGTTGCCTCTAACATGAAAAATCATTGTGGGACTGGGATTATCCATTTTTGACCCTACAGATAGTTTTCAACCATAAATTACACACCCACCAACTTAAAACAATAAAGTATTCATAAGGGGAAATTAAAGTAAAACCTTACCTACGGCTACAGGTGAGAACTAAAGCAAAAGATGTCAAAATACAAAATCAATATTTAAACCCTAGGTTGTCGTTTCTACAAGTCAAAACAATGAATTTTAAAAGCAGCAGCTTGCCTTAGGTTGTCGTCTTCTACAGCTTAGAATGACATAATAGGGTTTAGGGTCCCACTAGGGTTTTTTTGGAAAAGCGGACGGATGGAATGTGGCTAGGGCAGGAATTAAATCGGGAGGAAGATGGGACGTGAACGGGAACGGGGCTGCAAGCAGATGGTTGATTTCCCGAAATCAAGCTAGAGAGAAACTGAAAAGGTTTAAGATAAAGAGAGGGGCATTTTTTACACTTCCCCCTTCTATCAGGTCGCCCAAACCGTGGTTTGATCCCGGTTAACGGTTTTCAGCCGCTAATTTTAACGGAGGGGCATATTTGATTATGGATTTATAGTACAAGGGCATGTTTGATAATAAAAATAGTACAGGGGCATGTTTGATAAAAGTGCATAGTATAGGGGCATATTATACCTATAACCCTATAATTAAGTGACAATTATTTTCTAAGATTGGGTGATTAATTTGTTGACGACCTCAAAGTTTGCCAGATGTTGGACACGAAACTTGATAACTACCAGTTTTAATTGTGATGGCTAAGTTAGTCAAAGGAAAATCTGGTAGAAAGAAGTCTTGCTTAATTTTGTTGTCGAAACTCTGATTTAGGGTGTAAGTTTATCAAATCTAAAAATTGGGTGACCAATTTGTTAACGATATCAAAGTTTCAACATCATTTGTGTCATTGAGAAAATGCACCAACTCATAAATTATTATTTTTTTAACTATCGGAATTCCCGACTTCCCGTCCTTTGTTTCTTCTCCTCCAGCTTACTTTTTTGTTTCAATTTCTCCAGCGAATAAAAGAACTTGAAATTTAAGGAAGAAAAAAAAAAAAATAGAGAGAGAGATTCGATCGTATCGCGCACAAACTCTTCTTCTCTCTCTTACTCTCGATCTTAACCCAACAAAAACCAGCGTTGCAATTCTGCGATTCTGAGCTTATTCTTCTGGTTCTTGTTCTTCTTCATCTACCCAATTTGGGATAATCTCGTTCGGTCTAGCATCCTTCCTCTTCTCTGTTTTAGGGTTCCGATTGTTGATTTTACTCGTCAAATTCCTACTCACATTCAACGCATTGCATTTCCATTTCCAGTGCCAATTTCGAAGCTCCTTCAGCTCTCACGTTCGGGGTAAGCTTCCTAGCTCTCCCTCCCTCTGGCGTTGATGCAAATTGTTAGTTGCTGCAAATTTCATATTCATTGCACTTTCTTCCTTTTCATGGTTTCTTTTGCAGTGATTGAATTGAAGGAGCACGGTGTGCAAAGAACTCGTCGGCTTGTTGTTGTTCGTTTGAGTTTCGATTGAAGTTTGGATGTTTGTTTCGCGGATGGATTCCGGGCGGGAAGCCGGCGGTGGAGTTGCAGCAGGGACGGTGTTGATGCGGTTTGTGTGGCCTCATGGTGGTCGAAGTGTATTAATCACTGGTTCTTTTAACGGGTGATGATAGATATATAATGCTTAGAATTTTTTTGTTCCTATTTTCGCAAGCGCCTGGCTCTCTATTTACTTGGTTATATTTATTAATGGTTTTCTGGGTTTGGGTTTATTGTTAGAATGGTCTTAATTGATGGGTTTGTCTCTTTCTGAAGATGGGGCGAGCTCGTCGCCATGGCTCCTGTTGAAGGTTGTCCTCGAGTGTTTCAAGCAATTTGCAGCATAACTCCTGGTTACCACCTGGTGGGTTGGTCTGTGCTCCAGTTTTTCAATTTTTGTTATGTAGTTAGAAGTTTCTCCTGGGCATCTGTAGTAATTGTTGCTTTTGACAACACATGTGAGCTTAGTGAATCGAATGGCTCAAATCTCCTCTCTTGTTGATGAAAATGTGCAATCCAAGGCAGTAGAATATATATTACTTCTTTTTGCTCCCAGAATTTGTGGTAGAGTAGTTGATGGAATAAGTGCATGAGCTCGGCCCGGATGTTAATTTAAAAGAGTTTCGTGTGCGTTTCGGATTGCACAACTAGCCGCAGATACGTGCTTTTAATGGTTGTTTACCTTGATGATGAGGTTTTAATCTGGTTGTTATCGTGTCATTTGCAATATAGCTTTACTTATGGTGGTTGCATCATGCAGTACAAGTTTTACGTTGATGGGGAGTGGCGGTATGATGAGCACCAATCTTGGGTAACAAGTGAATATGGTCTAGTAAACACTCTCCTCTTCCCAATGGATGCCAATTGCAATCCTACAATGGGTTCAGAGTTACATGCGAACATGGAGTTGGACAATGAACACTTTAGGCGTGTGGTGAGTTGACTACCTTGGTCGTTTGCTGATCATTTATGTGAAGCCCTTACATGTTCCAGTTCTGTGCTAGTATTCAATCCCCCATTGAAAATTGCGGGAGTTTCAGCATCCTTCAACTTCCTTGTATATTAATTCTGGCAATGGTTAGACATGGAATCTTACAGAGTAAATGAAAAATGTAGGTCCATGTCTCTGATGGTACCTTGAATGAGGTTTCACCAACGATATCAGAGGCTGATGTGCAGGCTTCTCGTCATCGTATCTCTGTATTTTTGTCTACACAAACTGCGTATGAGTTACTTCCAAAGTCGGGCAAGGTTAGGATATACTATGATCACTGAATATATTTCCTTCATCGCCCCCTTCCTTTTGAGCAAGGTTATGATACCCCTACGATAAGTCAATATGATTTCTCCACCTTTCCTATCTGTTCTTGGTTTCGCCCCTTTCTTCTGAGCTTGATGTTTTCAAGCTTCTTTCTCTTCATATAATCAGTAGATGTAGCTTACAGGTGGTTGCATTGGATGTCGATTTACCAGTGAAACAAGCTTTTCATATCTTATACGAACAGGTGAATGATTTTTCCTTTTTGGTCTTCCAACTAATTGTAGAAATTAAAATCTAGGTCGATGTCATTCCGGTTGCATTATTGTATAGTTCAAATTGTTGTTGCATGTTGATGATTTGAATTTTAATTCTGGCGGGTATATGATCACGTCCAATCCAAAAGAAAATGCTCTTGCCTCTCAATGTTTCGTCTTCTTCACAAATATGAGTTACTTATCACTTTACACCATTATTTCTAGGGAGTCCCAATGGCTCCTCTTTGGGACTTCAGCCGGGGCCAGTTTGTTGGAGTGCTGAGTGCTTTGGACTTCATCTTAATATTGAGAGAGGTATGCATGCAAAGCCAAATACTTTTTATTCCGAGAATGATCTGACGAGTACAGATACTAGTTAACATGACTAGTTAGATATTGGGATCCATGTAGGTGCTCGTTTTATAAGTTTATTACAGTTTGAGGCTTCTGTTTGAATCATGCTGAAACAAAATTGGTTGGGATTACGTGACTAGCTCATTTATTCTTACATTATTATTTGTGTACCTGCTATTTCCATATTCAACGAGTCCTGATGGGTTATGTACTCTCTACTTTTTGTCTCCATGTTCTAATTAAAGCTTGGCAATCACGGGTCAAATTTGACTGAGGAGGAACTTGATACTCATACAATAGCTGCTTGGAAAGAAGGAAAAGCATATCTGAATAGACAATTTGATGGCCACGGGAGAGCTGTTACTCGGCAACTCATACATGTGAGTTCGATCTCTTGAATTCTTAATAGAAATGTTAACTTTTAAATGAGAAATTTCTTGCTTACTCTGTTGTAGAATGTTGAACGAGAGATTTTGATTATACAGGCTGGACCATTTGACAACTTGAAAGAGGTTGCTCTGAAAATATTGCGAAACGATGTGTGCACAGTCCCCATAATCCATTCATCATCAGATGATGGATCATTCCCCCAGCTACTTCATCTCGCTTCACTGTCTGGAATTTTGAAATGTAAGGCTTTTGTTTTAGCTGCTACGAACTGTGCATATATTTTTTTTTAACTAACCGATGGATATTAATTTCCAGGTATTTTCAGGTACTTCAGACATGTTTCTGGCTCCTTATCTGTACTGCAATTGCCCATCTGTTCAATTCCACTGGGCACTTGGGTACCAAAGATAGGTGAATCGAATGGACGACCTTTGGCAATGTTGAGACCAAGTGCTTCCCTTAGTGCCGCTTTAAACTTATTAATTCATGGTATGTTTCTTTCCTCAAAATGCATAGAACTGTTGGAACTTAGAACGAGTTCATATGGAGGTACTCCAAGTCGTATTTGTTCTAGTTAAGCTGTGTTGCAGTACTATCTTCTGTACACGTGCTGATGGTTTGATGTTTGTTTCAGATTTTGATTAAAGCTAGTAATTTTTTCTTAAAGATCTGAAGAGAGTTCGTTTTGTTAATTTTTAGGAAAAGCAGAGTTGATGAGAAATGAGATATCGTTTCAAGGAGTTGGTTGATAGTTTTGTTTAATATTGAGAATTTTGGGACATTACTGTTAGGGGCATATGACTTTATGGATCTATTCTTATTCAGAATTGGTTAAGTTGGAATTGAAATTTTATCAGCGAGGTGTCTTTTTCGTTGCTTTCAATATTATAATGTGTAGGTTTATCATGAATAGTTGATTTAGATAGATAGACTGAAAGAGTGTTTGTTTCGCACAAAAAAAAAGTGTTTTTTTCAATTTTTAAGTCAACTTTAACTCATCCGTCTATGGTTTAACTACTTTCCTTGCAATTCTATGCTATGTGTTTGTTTATTTGCTTAAGATGCTTATCATGTGAGATGGACTACTTGTGTAACCATGATAGGTTACTCTGTTTCTTCTGTTCTCTTGTTACCTTGTCTTTGCAGCTCAAGTAAGTTCAATACCAATAGTTGATGATAACGATTCATTGGTTGATATATATTGTCGGAGGTAATGATCTTTACATTGGATACTGTTGATTTGTTTCTTCCGAAGACTCTGAGTAACTTGTTGAAATACTTGGCTTTCTGTCGCAGTGATATAACTGCTTTGGCAAAGGACAGAGTTTATACACACATTAATCTTAACGAAATGACTATACACCAGGTAAAATTTCTCTTGCATTTCCTGATATGTTCCATAAAGAGTACTCCAAAAACACGGTCTCTCAGATGCTTCTATCTGTAGGCCTTGCAATTGGGCCAAGACTCGTTTTATCCATATGAGTTGAGAAGCCAAAGGTGCCAGATGTGTTTACGCTCTGATTCACTTTTTAAAGTGATGGAGCGGTTTGCAAACCCAGGTAAAGAAATCTAATTGCCTTGTCCCCAGCACATCAAAGTTATGTTGTTCCCCCTCATTGTGATTGAAGCCCTCTCACTAAATTTGCTTTCAGGTGTAAGGCAAGTGATCATAGTAGAAGCTGGGAGCAAACGGGTCGAAGGTATTGTCACTCTGAGCGACATTTTCAGATTCTTGCTCGGTTAGTTCAGCACTACACAGGGGGTGCTCCCATTTGCAAACACTCCAGCTCATCCGGGCGGCTTCCATGGCCCCAGAATTCCGATGTATTACCGATATCAACATGCCTCCTTCCTCTTGTCTGGGCCGACACACATTGGAGAAAATCAAGCCCTCAAAGACGAAGGCAATGCGATTCGATTCAGGAGGTTGACAGGTCTTGGTAATTGGGAAGTTTGTGTGAAAAATCTTCCTGGCAAGTGGCAACCAGCTACCTCCTGCCATTTTTTCTCAGCATTAGGGGTTTTATTTGTAGGTGAGGAGCAAGAATGGGTTTCTGTAGTAGTTAAAGCTTATTGTATGCCTGCTCCAAGCAGGAGTGGGAGAGGGAGAGATACCCAGATCAAGAAAAGTTGAAAAGGGAAAAAAGAATGGAAGGAGAAAGAGAGATGGGAAATTGCTATTCATATGATTGATTTATAGTTTAGAAGTCCCATATAATCTGATACATTTGTGAAAGTAAGAAATATTGGCTTTTGGTGGCCGGTTTAAGCTGATTTGAGTGAAGTAAAGACTGCGAGAGTGACAGTAGCTTCTTTAGGGCTTCTTTTTGTGTGAAACAGGGGGCGCAGGGCATTCCAATATTCCATGGCATTCCAGCGAAGTAAAAAGTTACACTAGCGGCAGTTTACTCCGAATGAGGCGAGGGCTGGGTGTATGGTTTGAAGGTTGGAATACTGAATGTAAAATACTAGTTTGGAAGGAATTCGTAGTTGCGGAATTGTTGGATGATTCAATCACTTGCGGGAAAGAGGTTATCTGTTAGAATACGAGGAGAAATTCGAGGAATTGAAATCTCAATTGCGCTATAAGCCTATAATCCAACATCAGAGGAAGAGTATTTCGTTTTAGAGTTCTATTAGTGGATTGGATGAAGAACCGAGGCTAATGGTGAGTGGTGACGATGATGCAACCTCACAGTTCTTGGCTCATGCATTCCAACTTCCAAGTGATTAACAGAAGGAAATGGCGAGCCTCTAGTTTCAAGCCAGAGGTGACAACTTCTACCAGTGATTAAGTAAATACGAAGGTTTTAAGCAAGTTCCTGCCAACAAAGCTCCTACATCTAGAAGAAACTATACCCAGGGAACCTGTTCGAACTTGAAAATGACTACTAGATTGGGCCTGTAGCCCAGTAACAGTATCACTCAAGCCAGCCCAGCAATTCGGCTTTGCCCTCCTCTCCTGATGCCACTCTCTCTATTTAATAGCATTTTGTACCCCTCTACTTTTGCAAATTAACAAACGTACCCCTCTACTATTTTTTTGCACGACTGTACCCTTTTAGTATTAAAACGTAACGAACATACCCTTCCATCTAATTTTCTGTTAAATGACCGTCTAATGAGCTGTAAAAAGACTTAATTGCCCCTCGTTAACTCCTAATTTCGATTTAATTATTTTTTTTATCCCTAACCAAGTTATAACCTACAAACTGTCAAACTCCCAAGTTTCTCTACGACGGGAGACGTTTGGTCTTGCTCAAATCGGCCATCAAATCCGGCACTGGTAAACGACGGCGGCGGGTAGGAGGGTTTCTACACGGCTCTTTTCCACACAAACGCACAACCGTTGCGCTCGATCTCCGACGAACAACAATTGGTGACGCGACCCTCTTCTCCCAGCAGTTGGCCACGCGATCATCTTCTCCCGCGAACAGCAGTTGGTGACCCGATCATCTCCGTCTGTGCTTCCGCAAACCAGCGCCAGAGACTCCGGCCACCCTGTACTCGGCCGCTAGCCTGCTACCCATCCACTCTACTGTGTTGGAATTGTCTTGAGGTGTAAGCTATTGTCTCCTTAAACCGAACTCAATTGATGTTGTAATGTTTATTTTTAAGCGAATACGAGAGAAGATAAATATGAATATTGGTTCTATGTGGTTACGTTGGAGGCCAGACTTCAAATTTGGGTTCCCCACAATATTTACACAAAAATGAAAGAGGGAAATAAAAGAGGATTGTTCGACGAAAGGATGCTGATTGATTGGGAAGTTGGGCAGAGTTGACAGGCGGAGAAGAAGAGGCTGTCGGAGGACGGAGGCACAATCGGAGGAGAAGAGGTTGGCGCAGTAGATTCACCAAATCGTCAATCGTGTAGAAACCCTCTTGCCCGCCGCCGTCGTTTACCAGTGCCGGATTTGATGGCCGACTTGAGGAAGACCAAACGTCTGCCTGTCGTAGAGAAACTTAAGAGTTTGTAGGTTATAATTTTTAATTAATTTGGTTAGGGATAAAAAATAATTAAATTAAAATTAGGAGTTAATGAGGGGTAATTGGGTCTTTTTACAGCCCATTAGACAGTCATTTAACAGAAATTTAGACGGAAGGGTATGTTCGTTACGTTTTAATATTAAAAGGGTACGAGCGTGCAAAAAAATTATAGAGAGGTACGTTTGTTAATTTGTAAAAGTAGAGGGGTACAAAATGCTATTAACCCAAATTGAAAACTCACCCAAAACTTGAGCGGGAAAATCCCCAAAAAAGTTCGAATATTTCTGCCAGGAAATGGAAGGATTCTCTAGCTCGAGGAACAAGAAGAAGACGAAAAATCGGCCGCTAAAAAAACTCACCAGCAATTGACTGTGTCTCTCACCGCTCCGACAAGCCACTCCCGCCATGGAAGAAGAGCAGGAGCTCCTCTCCCGAATCCTCGCGGACCTTGAAGAAGCTCGAGACAGCAACAGCAGCAGCCATACTCCCTCGCCGCCGCTCTCCCGTTCGACTCTCCTCGATCTTCAATCCATCTTAAACGCCGACGATGCCGCCGATCTACTTGATCAATTCTTCTCCCGCCTTTCATCCAAATCGCTCTCGCCGTCTTCTCTCCTCCCGCCTCTCACCTCCGCTATGGACTCCGGCCCTATTTCCATCTCCCTCTTGTCATCCCAAGCCTATCTGTCCCTCCTCCTTTGCCCTAACTCTCCTGTCTTCACTCTCTTCAACCCGATGTGGTTTCTTTCTCTCCTCCGCTCCCTCCGCCGCGCGCTCAAGAACCCGCCGCCGGGCGTGCAAGGCGACGACCCGCCTTCCTCGTCGGGTCGGGCGGGTGGTTTGAAGAGGAAGAAGGCACGGGGAGGGAGGAATACCAGAGGTAAAAATGATGATGAAGATGAAGATGGAGGCGGCGGAGAGAGTCAGGTGAGGAATGCGAAATTGTTCTACAGCGTTCTCGAGAAATTAGGTTCAGTTTTGGATTTGATTCATTTGAGTAGGTTCCCCGATAGTTTGAAGTCTCTGGTTCAGACTGTAGTGGAGATTCCTGTTTTAGCTTCGGAAACATTAGGCAGTTCGTCGGGTAGCTCCACTGGATTGGAAAATTTGTGCTCGAGGATTTTGAATCGAGTGTTGAAACCCGAGCACGGCGACCAAGGGGAGACCGCAGCGGAATTGCTGAAGTCGTTGACGCCATTGATATTGTCCGTGAAATCGCACTCTAGGAGCTTTGCCTTAGGCTTCGTGAAGAATTTGGTGACGGGTTTAGCTAGAAGAATCGAAGGTGTGAACAAGGCTTGCGTCAATTTACCACGGTATCTGGTGACGAAGGCGCCGGAGAAGGCTGAACCCCGTGGGTTGGCTGTGGAGGCCATAATCGATATTGTGAAGGTTATGGAGGTGAATGATCAAATTGTGTTTGTGGAGTATGTTGTGAAGATGAGCGAAGGGAAGGCTAATCTTAGAATCTTGGCGGTGGACTTGATGTTGAATCTGTTACTGCTGTTGAAAGATCCATTTGGGTTGAGCTCTGATTGTGAGCCGGAAGGCAGCTGGGGATTCAAGTGTTTCGAGGCGCTGATCCAGCGGTGTTCGGATTCAAGTGCTCTAATTAGAGCTCGTGGGTTGTCAAATTTGGCGCAGTTGGTGGGATTTCTGTCTTCTGATGATAGGAATCATGCTGTTCTGAGACGTGCCATGGGGTTTGGAGAAGTGAATATGGAGAAGGGCGAGAGTAGGATCGATGATCTATTGAGAAGGCGGTGTATGGATGAGAAATCAAACGTTAGGAGAGCTGCACTTCTCCTAGTCAGCAAGTTGACTGCTATTTTTGGTGGCAATTTGGATGGAATTGTGCTCAGAACTATGGGAATGGCTTGTTCCGATCCACTTGTGAGCATACGCAAAGCAGCAATATCAGCTCTGTCACAGGTTGGTTCGTAATTGTTTTGCATGTGAATTGAACTGATCATTGTTTGGTTCTCTTTGTTCACGGCCTATTTTTCTACATGAATCAGAACAAGAATCTTGATTGAGTTGTTAGCTTGTATAAGAATAATAACAATACACAAGCATCAAAACTCTTCATATGGAGGAATGTTATCAAATTATGAAGCAAAACGACTTACCTTTTCTGCGAAGACTTATTTTTCTTCCAAGTTATCAACACCTATCATTATCTGTTTAGAGTACCGCGTGTTGCATACTGTCTCAAGAGTTGATCTCTATCCCCTTTTCAAGTTATCTGTTTGATGTTTCTGATCTTGCCTTCTACCATTGCACTGTAGGCCTTCAGAACATATTCAGATGAAATTGTGATTACCGAGTGGCTTCACTGCGTACCTCGTTTAATAGCAGATAATGAGACTAGCATTCAAGAAGAGTGTGAGAACTTGTTCCTGGAACTAGTCCTGGATCGTGTTTCAAAAGCAGGAAGTGATCCCAGGTTACATAATGCTTCCAGTTTATCCCATTCCGAGTCACACAAAATCGGAGTAGACAGAAAGATGGAGTTGCTATTTCCTGATGGAGTTCTGCTCATTCTGAAAACAATCTGCGATGGAGAGGTGACACCTTGGGTTAAGAAAATCTGCAGTAGTCTTGGGAAGAAGGAACGACTCAAGGATGTGATTGCTAGTTCACTACAGAATATCATAAGAACTTCTGAGTCTAACTGGTTGAGCCATTCAATGCCAATAGATAAGTGGACAGCTCCAGCTGGTGCCTGGCTTCTTTTATCTGAGGTGTCCGCACACCTGTCGGATGCAGTGGACTGGAAGTTTCTCCATCACCATTGGCGACTCCTTGACAAGTTTGGAGCAGCCAACGAGTTTGATCCGGAAGAAGATTTGACTCATGATGAAGGCAATAAAAATTCCAATTCGGTTGCGTGGGTAGGGGATCGTGTTTTTCTGCTGCAAACAATCTCTAATGTTTCTGAGAAGCTGCCTTTAGAGCCTGCTGCTGATTTAGCTTATAATCTGCTCAAACGAATTGAGGACTTCAATATGCACTCGACCGAGGTAATTTTAACAATTATTATTGCATGTTGTAATTTAAAATGATTTTATGTTGACGATCAATTTTCTTAGTTAGCTGCTAACTCCATTCTATAAAATATGTGCGACTATGTGATGGTAGGTTAATGCACATGTTAAAGCCCTGAGAACAATATGCAAACGGAATGCTCAACATCCTGCTGAGGCAGAAACAATGGTTAGCAAATGGGTACAAGAGGTTCTTTCAGAGGCTGTTAATATACTGGAAAACTACATGGATGAAAGTTTGAGAACGAACAACGATAACAGCTTGCTCACACCACCCAGAAGTGGAATTAGAAAGAGCAAGAGAGCAGCAGCAGCTTCCAGACAACTGGCAGAAACAGTGAATGCAGTTCAGACCATAGGATCTCTGGTTCTTGTTTATCCTTCAGCTGATATGAGTGATGTTATTCCTCTACTATACACAATAATCACGTCTGGAAATTCTGATCCCAAGTTGAGCAAGCTCCCTGGGCCGGTGGTCCCAGTTAAAGAGACAGCCCCCTCTTTGTATATTCAGGCGTGGTTGACAATGGGGAAGATTTGCTTAGCAGACGGGAAACTTGTGAAGAACTATATACCTTTGTTTGTTCAGGTTTGATAGCTCTAAACCCAGTACAGCTCTCTCTCTCTCGCTCTCATTCTTAGTTTCCTATTGTCATGCTAGCCGTTCCCTAGTTCAAGATGAAGGATTGACTAATGTGGCAGTAAAGCTTTTCCTTCTTGTTATATCAGTTGCTCCTTTGTGTCAAATGGGGTCTCAACTGTAGCTGACTTGCTAGCTCATGTTACGCAGGAGCTCGAGAAAAGTGATCTTGCACCACTTCGCAACAATCTCGTAGTTACAATGGCGGACTTCTGTGTTCGCTATACTGCACTTGTGGACTGGTAAGGCCACATAGAGAACCGCACCTGCCTGAGTTCTGTCTGATTGAGATATAGCTGTTTTAAATTCCTGATTGGCTGATTAATTTTTTCTATAACGAACCCCAGTTACATACCAAAGATCACCAAGTGCCTCCGCGACCCATGTGAACTAGTGAGGCGGCAGACGTTCATCCTGCTCTCAAGATTGCTTCAGGTATTGTCTGCTTCTTAACCGTCTCTATGTAACGAATTCCGTTGAGAATGAAATATCATTGCTCAAAGGGATTAGAATTTCTGCCCGAATTATTTCTAAACATTCTACTTGGAAAGAATCCTGTCAACCAATATAAACACAAAAGTCAGTAGGATTGGACACAGGTAGATGGAGTCCACTAATTCCTCTGCACCAACATTTGCAACCAAATTTTGAATGGAGTTCAAACTTCCATGCCTTTGTTTCTTGGAATACCATTTCATGGGTTTTTCGGCTATCTTGACAAGAAGTAATGAACTTTCTTACATAGAGGGACTATGTGAAGTGGAGAGGAGTGCTCTTCCTCAGATTCCTCCTTGCTCTTGTCGATGAGTCGGAGAAGATAAGGCAATTGGCAGACTTCCTATTCAGCAACATTCTGAAAGGTTATAACCCTTGACAACTTCTCATAAAACTCCAATCTAATAGCCATTGCTACAAGACTTTACTAATCGTGCTATCATCTCCGTCTACTTGCAGTCAAGGCGCCGCTGTTAGCTTACAACAGCTTTGTGGAAGCCGTGTTCGTGCTGAACGATTGCAATGCTCACACCGGGTCTAAGAACACTCGAACCGAAGATAGCCAATTCTCCATCAGGTTAGTTAGCAAGCTAGTCTATACATGTCAAGTCATCCACATCCTTTTTTATGTCATTGAGAAATCGGTACCTTAGGATTCAAGGAAAGCTCTTTGTTTTGTCAAGGGGCAATGACGAGAGTTCAAGGTCCAAAAGAATGCACATATATGTCTCCCTGCTCAAGCAGATGGCTCCTGAGCATCTCTTGGCTACATTTGCGAAACTCTGCTCCGAGATTCTCGCTGCTGCTTCTGATGGAATGCTCAAGCTGGATGATATCACCGGACAGGCTGTTCTTCAGGTAACAAACCTAACTAATTCGCGCGTAAATTTAAGTTCCTTTCAAATGAATTGGCACTGAATTCTGTTTTTTTTTTTTTTTTTTTTTGCTTCATGTAACAGGACGCTTTCCAAGTCCTGGCCTGCAAAGAGATCAGAATCCAACCGGCCAGGGGATCGACCGCGGATGACGCCGGCGAGGAAGAAAGCAGCGGCGGAGATGGCAACGGGATGTCAGCAAAAGGAAGGGCAATAACGCAAGCCATAAGGAAGAGCTTGATCCAGAACACGATTCCGATCTTCATCGAGCTCAAGCGGCTGCTGGAGAGCAAGAACAGCCCGCTCATCGGCTCCCTAATGGAGTGCCTCCGCGTGCTCCTGAAAGACTACAAGAACGAGATCGACGAGATCCTGATCGCCGACAAGCAGCTGCAGAAGGAGCTCGCCTACGACATGCAGCGGTACGAAGCTGCCAAGGCCAAGTGCGCCGCCGCCTACGAATCCGCCGCCTCCGGGGGCCCGTGCGGTACTGGCGGCGCTGGGTTTCTTTCGCCGAAGGACAAAAGGGTGGCATCGGCGGTGGCGGACAAGGCTGCGGAGGTGACGGCGAGATCGGTTTTGAGAGAGGTGAATAGTGGCGTTCCGACGCCGCCGTTGAGTGCTATCAGTGTGCCGAAGCTGAAGATGACTGCTGACGCAACGGTGGGGAAGAGCGGCGGCTCTGGGTTGCCGTCGGCTCGGTCCGCCGAGGTTTTGGAGTCACTCAGGAGGCGGCAGACGTTCATGTCCGATGATGACAGTTGATGAGAAATAGGCTTTTAGTATCGAGGTACGAGATGGGCCTTGTTTAATCTGTATCTGGGCTTGGGCCTTGTTTAATTTTCCCGTGGGTTTTGCTGTCTTGTTTCCAAGCCCGGGTCACCGACAATGGTTCGGCGAGACCTCGCCACACGTGTTCCAATGGGAGGGCTGCGGCTTTGCCGTTTGGGGATATCGTCTTCGTCACGGGCTCTCAGGCAAATCAAAATCTATCGAAGGTCTTAATGCTTTTTTTCGAATTAGGTATTAGGCAATTAGCCTTTGTCCCCTCACGTTCCAACTGCTCAATTCAAATTAATGCATCCAGTTCGTGATTTGAATCCTCTCAAACTCCATTTCTGAATACTCACAGCTTTTCCCGAGATCTCGAATGCGCGCCGAACTCTCTGATTTCGTGGAACTCCATTGAATGCGATGGACGGCAACAAAGACGAGGCTCTTAGATGCATCTCCATCGCAGAAGAGGCAATCGCCGCAGGAAACAAGCTACGCGCCTTGAGATTCATCAGATTCGCGCAGCGGCTCAATCGCGACTCCTCCGTCGACGATCTCCTCGCCGCTTGCGAGAAACTAGCATCCGCCGACGAATCAAAGAGTCGTGGTAGCGGCAGTAGCAATAACCCTAGTAGGGCAGGTAATTGGAACGAGGAAGGTTCGGTTGGTGGGGATCGGAGCTACAGCGATGAGAATCTGCAATTGATTAGGCAGATCAACAGGACGAAAGACTACTACGCGATTCTCAGCGTGGGGAAGTCCTGTTCTGCTGACGAGATTAGGAAGTCATACAGAAAATTGTCTCTGAGGGTTCATCCAGACAAGAACAAAGCGCCGGGGGCCGAAGAAGCGTTCAAGAAAGTCTGTGCAGCGTTCAAGTGCTTGAGCGATGGAGAATCTCGGAGGCAGTACGATCATGTGGGTTTGGTACGAGGGTTCGGTTGCAGCAGCAGCCAGCAACGGCAGAACGCGAGGCCACGAAGGGCTACGAGGAGGAATGAAGGTTATGGAGGTTACAATGGCTATTACGATGATGACGAGATGTTTGGTCAGTATTTCAATAGGAATGAAGGGTATAGAGCTTATAATCCCTACATGAGCAGAAGAGAAAGGGCAACTGAACATAATGCCGAGTTTGAGGATCATGAAAAGGGGACAAGCTGTTGGTTTATTCTGCTGCAGATTCTGCCATTTTTGGTGATCTTCTTGTTAGCTTATGTGCCATTTACAGAGCGGGTTTACTCGTTGCGGCCAACTGACTCGTATCGGGTTTTGAGGAAGACTGAGAAGCACGGGGTTGAGTTCTATGTTAGATCTCCGGGGTTCGATCAGAGCTTCCCTGTTGGGAGCACTGATAGGAGTAATGTTGAGGGTAGTGTGGTCAAGGAATATAAGCTCTTGCTTTGGCGGTATTGTCATATGGAGATGCAGAGGCGGCATTGGAATAAGGTTTTGCCTACTCCTAATTGCAATAAGCTGCACAATCTTGGATTAGCATGAAATGGTGAGAACTGCTTCCCTTGTCTCTTGTACACACTACACTTAAACAATTTGCTGTTGTTCTGCTTGGCTTTTGTTTCCATGGTGTTTATGAACCTTTCCACTGGAAGGTGACTACCATTACTAAATAGAAGTCTGCTTCCAGTATCATGTTTCTGAGTCAATGTTCTTGAAAAAAGGTTGGTACTTTGTTCATCACCCAATGCAGTGGAGACCCTGCACCAAATATTTCACTGGAGTAGGCTCTTTAATGGTGCTTTCAATCCTTGAAGGTTCGTTTAGATGAGATTGAAAAGGAATGACATTGATCTTCCCTTCAGATTCCTTGTATCTGCCCACTCTCATGAGAGCAAGAACCAGCTGGGTTTCTTAGTTCTTGTTTCTCCTTTTAGTTGGTGAATGAACCATTCAGGCTTAGACTAATAAAAGATTAGAAGAATTATGTCATCTATACACCTTGATTGTCCAAGTCCCCCTGGAGGGTTTGATCTATAGCCATTTCCTAAGGTTTGGCTCAGCATTGCCTTCTTTTAAATGTCTGTATGCTGTGGGAATGTTACAGATGCAGCTGATGAATGGAGGTAACCATGTACAATCCCCCTTCTGATCCTTCTATCTGTGGATTGTTACAGATGCTGCTATGAGGTTTTGGGTACTCGGATATCGGGGCTTATGTAAATGAAGTCTGTTGGGATGTCCCTGCTACACGGAGCTTCGTGCCAAGCTTGTCGATCGTGAATCCGATATGGCATGCTGTGGTCGTGCTAGACTCGCATGTCCGGCCTCTGCTGAAGGTAACAGGGTAACAGACTGACTGACTGCCATGGGGGTGAAACATATTTTGGTGAAAATGGAACAGAAATCCATGTGAGTTATTGTTTCATTCTATGTGTGGGAAGCTGTTTATGGGAAGCTTTTTTCCTCCATCTGTACGTACATGGCTCGGCTGCTCTGTGACTTGCACAAGAAACGCCGCTCATTTTCAACTACGGGTATAATCCAATTGAACTCACCAATTTTTGGTTCGACTGTGTTTGTGTATATGCGGTTATCGATTTTATTTCTTTTGTATTCGATATTTGTATGGAGATTCACTTCTAAGCTGTTATCGCTATTTTTCATCCCAATGTTATCATCACGGTAGGCCGGTAGGGTTCATTTGGTTGATGGAATTCAAAATGGATGGATTTTGATAAGATGGAAACAATAGGTTTTTTGAAATTTATACATTGGTGATGGGGTTGTGTGATGGTGAGTTCCATAATTGGATGTGAAATTTAATGTAACGGCCTGTTTTGCATAGCTGATCGAACACGACCAAGTGGAGTAGATTCTCTGGAAGCCACCACAAAAATCAAGCTTATTTGACATTCCCCTTTTCTATCGTTACCATCAGGGTTCTAATAGGGTCGGTTTCGGTTTCGATTCATGAGCAAATGACTGCAACATCATCAGATAATGTCAATATGATCGAGGTTAACTATCGGAGTTTTCTTAATGGTTTGTAGGGAGATAGTTAATTAAGTGATTCGTGGAGCTTAGTTGGTGTTGTTTGTTGTACGTCTTCCCTGGATTATGGTTTAACCGCTTTATATTTCTAAGACTTCATTCAATTTGTTTGATTCGGACATTTTTTTAAGAACATTGCTAGCTCGCTCCTACCTCAACTAGTACTAGTAAAATAATCGCCGTAACTGAACACAAAATCAAAAGAGAAAACATAATCAAGGAGTAACTTATTTCTTAATAACTTGTTCTACCAATACGATCCGAATCACAAACATAGCTCCACTACAACTATCGATACAATCTCACTTTTTCCACGACAAGAAGGGGAAGGGGAAAAAAAACAATCTCCATTACTTACACTTTTTTTCTGCTGTGACTCCCAATCACAACCGTACACGTATGCACCCATTAGTTCGTTCGATCAGATCATTTCACCCCGCAGCGTAATCACACATACCAAACGAGCAGTCCCGCCGCCCTCCGGAAGGGCGGCACTCCTCAAAACACGCCCCACAGTGCCTCGCGTCATTCCTCGTGTCCACGCACTCCCCGGCGCAGCAATCGAGCCCGAACCGGCACCTCCTCCCGCACCCGCCGCAGTTGCCGGCGTCCCTCAGCGTGTCCCTACACACCCTCCCGAAGCAACAGGTAGTCCTCCTCTCCCTGTCCGAACACGCCCGCGCCGGATCTTCCCCGCACCACGCGGCGTCCTGCCTCCGCCGCGGGCCCCGAAAGAAGTTGACGTGGCTCGACGGTGGGTCGCGGCGGTGGTCGTGGTCGTGGCGATCTCTCCCGCTGCCGCCGTCGGCGGGGAGTGAAAGGAGGAGGAAGAGGAGGAGAATGGTGAGGGGTGTGGAGGGTAGTTTGGGGAATATTGACATGATCACGGGAGAGATGAGAGATTGAGGGAGGAAGAAGAGAGAAGAAGAGGACAGTGGTCTGGTTACGCAGAGGGAGAAACCTAACACTTTATCCGTGAGGTATTATGGACAGTGATGGGGTGGACTTTTTTCAGTGGGAGTGGGACTACTAATGATTTAATTTGGCCACGTTACGGTGTAGGAGACCCAAAAGAAAATAAGAAGAAAACAAAGAGGAAGTTTATGATGGATTCCCTGGCACTATAATAGACTCGAGTGAGTCAATTGTTTGCTCGTTGAATTTGATTATAGATTTCTTTGATTACACCATGGATTTATAATCATTGTTCCAGATTTCATCTTTTGTGACATATGATTTGCAAGTCTATAGGGGACGCAAATTTGAACGCTGATAATTCGTGGAGTCTGGGAATTTGATTCCCCAATAAAGTTCAAGCAAATAATAAATTTGTGCAAATTTTATGATGAATCAGATTAGATACCCAAATACGATCATCCGAAAAAGCTTGTATTCTAAAAGCTCAGATCATAACAAACTGTAAGAGCATCAGTTATTGGGCGACACTGTTCATCAATGCGCTTAGTGAAAACTCTCTTTTTTACTTTCCTTAAAGGGTTGCATGGCTAATTCTAGAGCAAGCCCCCAGCTTTGCATGCTTTGGAAGCGACATACCATATAAATTAGTCCTTTTCATTCAATTGTTGAATCATATTCAATCTGTTTATTTATACTAGTCCATAATCCATTGCCAACGGAAAAAAAATCATTTATCAAGGGGTTGAATAAATGTAAGTTGGAAATGGCGAACCCGATGGGAAAAAACAATCTCAATTGTTCTTGGTAGACGTAGAAGCCGTGGGCGTGAAAGGCTTATGATAAGATATGTTTGATAACTAAGAAACTGAGAGGAATGAAGTTTACTACAGAATGGGCGAGAGATTCCCTTTCTTTTGACGAAGAAAAGTTTTGAATATAAAAAAGTTAAAAACTGATGTACCGTATTCAAAAAAAGTTCTTATAGTGTACTGATGATGAAGGGCGTGAAAATAACCTGAGGTCGTTTGGATGGAGTATTTGTATGAGTTATTTGGATTCAACTAAGGCACAATGAGTTATTTGAACACAAATAACTCGTTTGACAGCGTTTTACTGAAATGAGTTATTTGGGCAGTGAGTTATTTACAAATAACTCAAAACAAGTTATTTGAAATAACTCATACCCATGTGTTATTTCGAAATAACTTGTTTTACCACTCTGCTTTTACCAAATATCACATGTCAAAAACCACATTTGCATGGTTTAACCAAACGAGATACTTTATTTCAATTACCACTGAAATAACACTGAAATACCACATGAACAATAAATGAGTTATTTGACTCTACAAATACCACATTGACAACTAACCCATCCAAACGACCCCTGAAAATTTTTATAGCTTAGCGCCTAAACGCTGGCACATTGCAATAGCCCATTGGCCAGCCAAGCCATAAACTATCTCAACTATTTAGGGTGACCAACCATAAGCTCACTTCTCTACGGCCCTGCCATGTCGAAGCCAGCAACTGTAACTCACGTCATAGCAATCTAGCAAATTATCATAGTCTGGAATCGGGGTAGGCTAGAAAGTAATCTTAGGCTGAAACACAAATTTATGCCAATCCCTTTACGGGGGCAATGTTTACAAAGAAGCTAACTACTAGGGCTGACAACTTTAACCATACCCATGGGTTTTTAATTATCCAACCCAGTTGGATTGGGTCTAAAACTCAAGTCAAATGTAAATGGGTGAAGTAAGATGGGCCAATACCCATACCCATTATGTTGGATCTATTTGGGTTTTACCCATGGATTTGAGTAAAAAAATCCAAACCCAAATAATTAAATAAAAAACGGAAAACAACAAATTAATTTTCCAAATTGAGATTTGGCCTTCACTCGACATTCTCTCTCTTCCGACTCTCTTGCTCTACCCTCCGCCGGCGGCGCAATTGGGGCTTTTGTTGAAGACGGAAATTAGTCACCACGCCCCTCTTGCTCTACCCTCCACCGACGGCGCAATTGGTCTCGCCTCAAGAATTGGAGACGGAAATCAATCCCCACACCACTATCATATTCCCGACGGAGATTGGAGATCGTCGATCGGGGGAAGGCCAGAGGTCGGAGGTGGGTGGATTGATTATTGCGCATTTGATATTTGATACAGCCTATTGCCATGAATCGATGATTTGGGGGGAGGTTTGAAAGATTAGAACTCTAATTGTGGAATCTGCCGATTGCAAACCTCAAAGCACTTTTTGACGATCATATCTGGATTTTCGAAAGTCAATGCTGGAGATGATCCTGGAGAAGCAGATATTCTCGCCGGAATATCTCAGGGAGCTCCTCAACTGCTTCATCCAGCTGAATACGCATTGGCGGAGCCCCAAGTTAGAAAAAATAAAGTTTTCAAGAGTGGAGAAGGAGAATTGAACTTTGAACCCCATGATTCAAACTCAATACCATTACCATTAAGGCAGAAGCTTTGTTTGATTAATAGCTGGACCCCACGGTACTAATCTTTTGGCTACGCTAATGTGAATACGCCTTACCATCACTTTTTGTGCCTAGAATGTACTAGGCGGTTGTGAGGCTCCGATCTGGACTCCTTCGTCTGATCTCCTCGAGAGTGGAAGAACCTGTGAGGCAGGGTCATGGAAACCCAATTTACGGATTCTATCATAATAATAATAATAATAATTATTATTATTAGGATTTTATTAGATATGGTTAGTAGTCATTGAGTCATATTAGGATAGTCTATTAGGTTTTTCCAATCTTTCGTTATAAATATGTAATTTGCGTTTTATTCAGAATCAGTCAAGAAGAATATTAAGAAAACCCTCCTAAACCCTAATCTCCCTATCCTCTCAATTCTAGATCTCAATCCCTCTAAAGGCCTAGGCCGATTCCCTATCTTTCTCTGCTCAAATCCATAATTTTTTTCTTAATCCCTAAATCTCAATTCCCGATAGAACCATAATCCCAGGTTCTATCATTTGGTATCAGAGCCAACATGAGCTCGTCAAAGCTCTCTGATCCGGAATGGGCTCAACTCAAACAACAGCTTCAGTAATCACTCGACGCGCGGGAGCGGGGGTGGGTGGTGGCGGCGGAGCCACCGCTTGTTGCGGCAGCGACCAAGGCAGATGCAGGGGCGCGCCTCGCGGCATCAGTGCCAGGCGCGCAGGCGGAGACGAGCGGGCTTGTGGAAACAGAGCCGAGGACAATGGCTGACCGGGTTGCGTTGTCAGTGATAGAGAAGAAGGATTCGTCGATGGTAGCGAGCGGAACGACGAGGAAGAGGGAGACGGAGGAAAAGGGCGGTGGTCCCATGTTCCGACCAACAAGCAGGCCAAACAGATGGCGGCGCCGTCAGAGAGAAGAACGACGGAGTCGACGGGAGGAGAGCTCGGGGGAACGGATCCAAGGATGAGGGTGACCTGGTCAGGTTTGTCTCTCCGCCGCCCAATGAGACTATCATCGCCGGGGAAGGTAGCATCGACGATGGAGGAGAGGAGGGAGCGGCTAGTGGGTGACGTTGATGGGAGCGACCACTTCTTCGTCACCAAACCTAGGGATCGAGTGAGAGTGGGCCTTGAAAACTGCAGGATGGGGTTTCACGTGGGTCAGGTATTGGGCTGAAGATTGGCCACAAAAGTGGGCTCTTCTTGGGCCAAAATGATCGGGAGGGCAGTCAAGGGTTGAGATTAGTTGGGCCGAGCAATTTCAGGGGCACGACCTGAGCAGAAAAAGGGAAGCAAGCTCCAAAGAACTAATGGGTTCAAAGAGGAAGAACTCTCTAATTCTTATAATGTGAAGTTTGAATCTGTGAAGGAAAATGGTGGGCCCATGGAAGTTGAATTTGAAGAGTTGGATAAGCCCGAACAGATCGGTGCAAGAAACTAATTACAAGAGCTTGAGCATGATTGGAAGAAAAGGAAGCGTAGTAGGGGGAAGAGTCAAGGGGTGAAGAAGTGGGTTGAGTCGGTCAACCTTAAGGGCAAAGTTGGTCTCAACTCTCAAGGGGAAGGGGATGATGGAAACCCAATTTACGGATTCTATCATAATTATCATTATTATTATTATTAGGATTTATTAGATATGGTTAGTAGTCATTGAGTCATATTAGGATAGTCTATTAGGTTTTTCCAGTTTTCATTATAAATATGTACTTTGCGTTTTATTCAGAATTAGCCAAGAAGAATATTAAGAAATCCATCCTAAACCTTAATCTCCCTATCCTCTCAATTCTAGATCTCAATCCCTCTAAAGGCCTAGGCCGATTCCTTATCTTTCTCTTCTCAAATCCATAATTTTTTTCTGAATCCCTAAATCTCAATTCCCGATAGAACCATATTCCCAGGTTCTATCATTTGGTATCAGAGCCAACATGAGCTCGTCAAAGCTCTCTGATCCGGAATGGGCTCAACTCAAACAACAGCTTCAGCAATCACTCGACGCGCTTGATCGAGAGACGTGGGAGCGAGGGTTGGTGGTGGCGGCCGAGCCACCGCCTGTTGCGGCGGCGACCAAGGCAGATGCAGGTGCACGCCTCGCGGCAGCGGTGCCAGGCGCGCAGGCGGAGACGAGCAGGCTCGTGGAAATGGAGCCGAGGACAATGGCTGACCAGGTTGCGTCGCCAGTGCTAGAGAAGAAGGATTCGTCGATGGTGGCGGACGGAGCGACGAGGAAGAGGGAGAAGGAGGAAAAGGGCGGTGGTCCCCTGTTCCTAACCGACGAGCAGGCCAAACAGATGGCGGCACCGTCGGAGAGAAGAACGACGGAGTCGATGGGAGGAGAGCTCGGGGGAACGGATCCAAGGATGAGGGTGACCTGTTGGGTTTGTCTCTCCGCAGCCCAATGAGACTATCGCCGCCGGGGAAGGTAGCATCGACGATGGAGTAGAGGATGGAGCGCCTAGTGGGTGACGTCGATGGGAGCGACCACTTCTTCGTC